GGAGTTTGTTATTCACACTGATCATGAAGCATTGAATCATATCAAAGGTCAACATAAACTCAACAAATGTCATGCTAAGTGGGTGGAGCTTTTCGAGTCTTTTCCCTACGTCATTCACTACAAGAAAGGTAAAGAAAATATCGTTATAGATGCCCATTCACGAAGGTGTTTTCTTCTTAGCACCTTCGATTCTAAGTTACTTGGTTTTTCTTTCCTTAAAGACTATTATGCTAATGACCATAATTTTGGAGAAAAATACAAATCTTGTGAAAAGGGTGCAGTTGAGAAGTTCTATAGACATGATGGGTATCTATTCAAAGAAGAAAGGTTATGTATTCCTCAAGGATCCTTCCGAGAAGTATTGGTACGAGAAGCACCTCAAGGAGGACTTATGGGACATTTTGGCATAAGCAAGACGTTAAAGATCTTGAAATAACATCTCTATTGGCCTAGGATGAAAAGAGACGTTGAACGGATTTGTGAAAGATGCATTGTTTGCAAAAAGGCTCAGTCAAAGTCATACCTCATGGATTATATAAACACCTTCCCATTCCTACAACACCATATATTTCCATGGATTTTGTGATGGGACTGCCAAGGACGAGAAATGGATGAGATTCCATATTTGTTGTGGTTGATTGGTTCTCCAAAATGGCCCATTTCATACCATTTCATAAAACTGATAATGCAAACCACGTGGCTAATCTATTTTTCAGGGAAGTGGTGAGATTGCATGGCATACCAAGGACCATTGTTTCTGATCGAGATGTCAAGTTCCTCAATCATTTTTGGAGAACATTGTGGAGAAAACTTAGGACTAAATTGTTGTTTTCAATAACTTGTCACCCTAAACTGATGGACAAACAGAGGTTCTCAATAGAGTATTATCAACGTTGTTGAGAGCCATTATCAAAAAGAACATAAAGACATGGTAAGAATGCCTCCCACATGTTGAATTTGCTTACAACCGGTCAATTCATTCAGCAAAAAAGACTTCATCGTTTGAGGTAGGGTATGGATTCAATCCCTTAACTCCTTTAGATCTTCTTCATCTACCTCAAGAACAATTGGTTAATAAGGATGGTAAGAATAAAATTGAATTCATCAAGAAGTTACATGAGCAAATTCGGGACAACATTGAGAAAAGAACAAAGCAGTATGAGTAAAAAGCTAATAAGGGACGTAAACAACTTCATTTGGAAGTTGGAGATTGGGTATGGGTGCATTTACGTAAGGAAATATTTCCAACTAAGAGGAAATCTAAGCTATTGCCAAGATGTAACGGTCCATTCCAGATTATTGAGAAGATCAATGACATCACATATAAATTGGACCTTCTCGGGGAATACAATGTCAGTTCCACCTTCAATATAGCAGATCTTTCCCCATTTAAGGATAACGACGATTTGGGGATAAACAGCATAAACGAATGGGGATGATGTGAGCACACCAACGCCTATTATAAAAGACATGGAAGTGATGCCACTAGGACCAATCACTCGATCAAGGACTGAGTTGTTCGGAGAAGCTCTTACAACTAAATGCATTAGAACATTTGAATCTTTTAAAAATGCATCCCCAAGTAATAGATTATATAATATGTTTCAAGTTAACATATAATATAATCTATACACCACATGTTTATATGTTTTTCTTAGCTTATATTATGTTTTCTTTTGTAGGTACATAGGCGACCACATGATGGGAGTTGACTTAAGCTAGCTTTGGAGTCCAAGAGCTATGACAACATGAATAAGACAACTCCGGGATAGCTCAAGATCATTTTGGGACAAAGTTATCAGCTACGCTCCGAGCTAATAATTGACTTGAGTTAAACTTTTGAGCTAGCTAGACATCTCATTTCATCTGGATAGTTAGACCATCATCACCACCATACAGAGTACTTCAAATATAGCCTAGGTCAATTTTTGTGAAATCGTGCCTTTTCGCGAATAGTTGCCATTCCAAGAGGTGCCTTTACACAAGGAGTTGTTTAATAAATCATCTAAATGTAACTTACCTATGGCCAGCTCATCTTCAGCTCATACACTTGGGAAGTAGCTCAAATAATGAAAGGCGGCCTTACACACAACGTGACCTTTCATGACAAGTTGTTGCCCATTGGATTCCATGACACCTAGGTGCACGTTGGTGAGATTATTGTAGCTAAATGGAGCTTAAATTGTGAGGAGACATGCCTTACAACCATTCGGCCAGACCCTTAGCACACGCCTAGCACATACACAAGGCTTGGTCCCAAAATAAAGAAGCATATAACCATTTAGCCAAGGGAGATGCACTTTCAATTCAAATCGAATAGACATGCATTTACATGAAGATGTAGTTGAACCAACACCAAGGCTAAAGGACGTCTTCATTCATTCAAACATCATGTACCTTTAATTAAGTTATGTACTTAGTCGAATATGCATATAGTTATTCGGCTAACCCTTCTAAATTCTATAAATAGGAAGGCTTAGTTCATTTGTAGCAACACCCTTGAATATATAAAGCTCTTTGTGAGATTTCTCTCTTGCAAGTTCTTTAAGTACTTTATCGATTAAGCAAACTTTTCTAAGTTTGTGGCATCATTCATTTCCTTTGATACTTTGAGTTCCTAGTTTCCATAACTAGAGGGTTCAAGTACAATCATACCATCCCTAACTTAAGTTTATAGAAAATAGGGTTAAGCTTTCTATAGCTTTTCTTCTTCTTTAACTTATTTAAGATACTACCTTCATCCTTTCCATCTTCCATCATCTTCACGCCTACACCGTTACCATTTCCATTACCATTTCATAACCATTGAAGCAGCCTTCATTATCATCAAGGCAAACATCCATCATCACCATTAGAGGCCAAATTCATATTACATTAAAGGATACTTCTACATCACTTCCACAGCCAACTTTGATAACAATTCTATACCTTCATTTCTTTATCATTTCATTTCCTTTTCTTAAGTTCTTATTTCTTTAATCATTTCTTTCCATAATTTGTGCAGATTGTTTATAAGTTTAAGTGTGGCATTTGGTGCCTCTCCTAGATCGGGAAACAACAAGGCTGTCATCTTCTCCATCATTGAAAAAGCTTGGATAGCCTTACATCAGCGTCGATCTATAATGTTGGGAACTCAAGATAAAACAATTATAGAGAAGACAACACATGCATAAATTAATCCAACAATGAACAAGAAATCATTTAATTCATGTAAAGAAAAATTGGACAAATCTTATTCTATATGTTGAACGAATTTACTCGTCCAAATAAAGGGTATTTTATATATTTTATTTTAATGTGTAAGTTGATTCGAGAAAGAGAGGAGTAAACTAGCCATCTTGAATAAGAAGTTGAAGCTTTTTTTTAAAGCTGGAACATGAGCAGAATTGCAATGACTTTTTGAATATGATCTTAGCATTTCTTGGTCAATATGAATCTTTCAATAAGATCGATTGTCTCTTAACTTCCCAATGCATCTTGAAACGCCTCAATCTGATGTGGGGAGATGAAGATAAATCCATTATAACGAAAACACCACATGCAAAAATTATTCTAGATTGAAGGTTGTTTTAGCTTGTAGTTTGGAAGTTATGTCCATTGGTCATAATTCGGTTTCCTGTGAATAAATTTGGTCACGGCCCACCGAGGGGAGTCAAGATTGCGTTTGAACATATACTCGTTGGTGGGACATTGTTAACTCGAGTTGTGCTCTTCAAGAACTCAAGACCGTCATAGTCTAGAATCACAATTATTGTGGTTAGACCATTCGACTAGAATGAATTTTTAGGTCGGTTCGGAGTCGATTAATAAAGTAGTTAACTACAAGGGTTGGTTCCTGTAGACTATAACCAACGTAGTATTTAAAAGTAAAAATCAATTTTGATGAACGGTCGAAATTTGAGCTAAACAAATACTAAGGCTAAGAAAATTCACATTTTAATTCTTTCATTATTTATTCCATCATTCCTCTTTATTTATTTATCATTATTTTATTATTCTCACTTTCTCTAAAAAAAACCTCTTGATATTTATTTTTGCAGTTTTAAGGATTTGAACAAGAAAACAACATTACTGAATTTTTTGAAGTCTTTCTAGAACCACCTTATCTCTCTATACTACAATTTGATGTATTTGACACCTTGTCACCTTTTTCTCCAAATGATCTGATTGAATAGATTTCTATATCATTAGGCGTGCACTTAACTTTCTGAGTACTTTACAAATTGCAACAATGTTAGCTCAGCTATTTGGTTCTTTGCTCCTCAATGTTCTTCTCTGTTACAGCCAATACACCTTAGTTTAGGATGAATCTATATTGTTAAATTTGGCCTTTAAAGAATTTAGGATATCAGCATACAGGCCAAATGGTGTGCCTTTCTGAGTAACTTCACTGACAAGTGGCCTGAGATTTTTCTTCTTCTTAATTTTGTACACATCCGGGTCTCTTGTCTGCATTTAAACGTAATTTCTCTTTGGGCTCATTCGCATTTTTAAAGACTCGTGGATGCATGTGGAGTTTTGGGGCTTCTTCTATTGCACCAGATCCAGTTCCATAGGCTGTACTTGCAGCGAAGTCTTTGCTTTTGACTAGGACTTTTATGATACAATACACATCAGCTCCAGATGAGCTGCTCGAAACTTCTGGGAGTGTTTGTTAATGTTGCATCAGGCGTTTTGCACAACCATGTTAATCACAAGTACACTTTGTGTCAAGTGGAACAGGCACATGAAGAACTTGAGAATCATAGAACACATGGGTCAGTTCTGATTCAATGAGGCATCAGAAGAAAGCACTTGATTGTATTCGGATTTTCCTTCGGACTCTCGTTTCACACTTGTAACGTGTGGAAGGTTAGAACTTAAAAAGGTCTGTCTCCTGTTATGTCTATTTATAGCATAAACATACAGGTAGTATCAAAGGGATCAACTAAAAGCCTTTGTTTGAATATATATATATATATATATATATATATATATTTCTTTGTATACTATTGATTCCATAGGTCTAATGGCAGCATTACGTGCAGAACATGTTCATCGATGTTTTCAAATAGTGATAAATCTCATCATATAACATAAGCATGCTTGTATTAAACCTCAATAAGGTGCACAATCAACAGCGAGCTATAACTTACTTTACCTGTCTAATTAAATACTAACTGAATATCAATTTATCTTCATGAACATGAATGTGAACCTAGAAGATGACTGTCCTTAAAGATGCACCTTACCCATTCTCTTAAATAAAGACAAATACTAAACCTTTGTAATCCTTAAAATTTATCTGATCCTATAGCTTAGAATGTATGACAAGATTAGTACTGTCAATATCTTGAAAGTTGATGTAACTGGAGAGTGCAGATGTGAGCTTCTTCAAATCATCAGTCGTATGTGCTGCACTCAAAGTGATTCGCAGCCTAAGGTCAAAAAGAAAAAACAGTCAGCTCACATTGAAATGAACATAGTTTCCATCATATTGGCATGAATAAGAACATCCACAGTGATTTTTGCCAAAGGTTTGGTAACATCTTTATGCTACATTCCGGATTTCATGGGAGGTTCAGACTAGAAGTGCCCAATGTATTCTACTAACTAATAGATGAATATGGGCAATGTTTCCACAAAACTGAAAACCAACAAGATGGATGATGATGATAAAGTGTAAACCTGCAAGAGTTGGGGGGCACTGTTGGTGGTCTGATTGCAGTCACATGGAAGCCTGATTTCAGCAATTGCCTATCATGAGAGGAAGAGTGGTAAGAAGAAATGTGTGTAAGTAGTACTGTCACAGCCATAAAAGGTGATGCATGGGGGATGAGAGAAGAAACCTGCTAGCTTTCAAGGCTTTCTCTTCACTTCCTACAATAAGAGAGATTATCTGACTGGAAATAGCAATTCCAGTCAAATTACGAAAATCCTGCACCCGGTTCCAAAGTTCTCTTCTACGCCACCTTTCTCTTTTAGCCACAATAACAGCAGCTGCTAAGTTGTATTTATTTTGTTAGCAAGAAGCAAATGCTACAATTACATCTGCGCATGAGGCCAAAAAGAGAATTCACTTCTAACATTGTATAATATATGGTCAATCTTGTTTTAGGTGTATTATTCCCTAGTAGTCAACAGACATCCTGAATGTATCTGTTTGTAACGAAATCTAAACCCATCAACAATTAGGACAATAACAAAAAGAATGTCTCGTTGAAATGATGTTGAACTTTACCATGTGCAGCAGCAGCTATAGGAACCGGTGTTGCAGTAGAAAATATGAAAGAACGGCCTCTTGATTGGATAAGTTGTTTCCACCTTTTGCTGTTCACATGGTATTCAGACTAGTGTGAAAATGAATATGATATATTCACAAAAAAATGAAACATTCAATTGAGGGTACTTCCTATACTACACGAGCATTTTGGAGAGTTAGAGTATATAAGATATGAACAAACCTAGAAGCCAAAAATACACTGTTAGCTGAAATTCCTATGCCTAAAGGGGAGAGATGAAAGGGGAGAAGGTGAAGAGCAAAATGCAACAAGAATGGCTCTCTAGTCGCTACTCTCCTCTCCTCCTCCTATTACCCCCTGAATGCTGCTCTATTGCCTTCTATTCTTCTCCATGTTAGAAAATTACACAAACTAAAACTATAATTTACCTGCAGACAATAAATCCACCATGGCAACCAGCTGCCTTGCTCAAAGTTCCAATGCATATATCAACATCTCTTTCACAATCAAATTCCTCTGCCACTCCTCCACCACTCTTGCCACAAACAAATGTTCCATGTGCCTGAAAAGCATAGGAGCAGCACTTCTTAGTTATTGATGGTATACACTAGAAATAAATCATGTCAAGAGAAAGAAGCTATCTTCTACTATGCACAACCTCAATAAAGTCTCAGCTAGGCCCTTTAGCTAATGACTGATAACAAATGGAGAATGCTTAATAAGATCAAGTTCATTGTCTTAAATTAGATCTTTCCTTCTCCCTAGAATCAATTATATGGACTACGAACAAGAAAATGGCAAATTCTTAATAGATTGAAAGGGTACAGTAAATTCTACAAAAGTTCTCTATATGGTAGACAACTAATAGCTTCTTGTAATTTTATAAAGGCTTACAGCAAAAAAAAAAAATGAGAGGTACATAAACTATGTCCTTTTCTTGCTTTAAGCACCTAAACTATCTTTTCGTCAAAATAAATACTTAAACTATGTTTTTTTTTCTTTACGACCTAAACTTTGCCTTTTTTTGTCAAAACAAGTACCTAAATCTTTGTGGCCTGTGAAGTCTCATTGGCAGAAAGAAATTTTTTTAACTGAGATAACGGCAGGACTTAAACTGGTTATAAAATAATAATTAGGTACTTGTTTTGACCAAGAAATAGTTGAGGTACTTAAAGCAAAGAAAAAACGAATTGTTTAGGTCCTTTTTTTTTACTTTAAGCCTTTATAAATGTCAATGCGAACTTACATCATCAATGACTAACAACAAATTATGCTTTCGCCGTAGCTCTACAAGCTCCAGCATTGGTGCAAAGTCTCCATCCATGCTAAACAAGCTGTAGAAGAGAATAAATAATAATAGCTGTAAAAAATGGATAAAGAAATTGGATTTTCAACCATAAATTCCTAAGACATGAATAGTAGTAATTTGCAATATATATAGTAGATAATACCTCATTCATAAATGAACACAATTGCAAAAATCTAGTTATAGTCATAACACGTATTTGTTTGATAAGCACAAAACATGCAAGTTATAATTAAATGCAAAGGTACAATCTTCTTGGACATCTAGAAAAGCATGAAAACACAAGAGAAAGATTAGTCATTGATTTATTTACTTTCATAGGATAAGGCAAACAGTTGTGGAAACAATGACTAACCTATCAGTCACAACCACCTTTCGCTTCATTTTGCAACTTGATCTGTCAAAATTTGAAAATGCGCCATTAAATGGCATGGTTAGACAAAGTCCTAGAAAGTGAACAATCATAAAAAACCTAAGTCAAAAGTAAAAACCTACAACAGTTCGCTGAGATGGGACATGTCACAGTGTTTATATACAAAGAATTCTACACTTCCTTGTCTTTCAGCAAGACGAATACCATCAATTATTGATGCATGGTTTAGTTCATCAGAAAAAATGGCAATTTTTTCATCCTTCAAAGGCTTATTCCCTGCGGCAAGGAGCAAAGCAATGTTTCCAAGTGCTACCATCAATGCCATATTGGCTGAAAACCCTGTAGGGCAAAGAAGACAGTCCTAAAGCATAAATTGGGAAGAAAAAAGAAAGCATCAGCCTTAAGTTAAAAAGCTTAAAAAAGAATATCAATGGTCAAAAGAATGAACACTGAAAGAACAAGAATATCACACTGATTATAATCATTATAATAGATCTTGATTGTAAATAGAAAAATAAAAAGGACAGTTTAAAATTCATAACCCCAATCTAGACAAAAATATCTCGTATCATTCAAGCTTTATCATTAAATATCATTCCCAAAACATGCACAAGAAACTATCGAATCGGACATACCAGCAAATGGCTTAAATAACGGCAAAAAGGATAACAATAGAAGCAAAGTCTAATCCAAGGTATATACCTCCTTATTCTTTAAACTTGCCAAGCTCGACTCCAGTAATCTATGGTGGTAAGTGTATCCGCAGATTAAGGGAGAGCCCCTTGGGCCCATTCCATACTCTTGTGCTGCCTGTTCGGAAATTAAGTAGCGAAAACAAAATTACTTAACCAACAAATATGGCAGAAAGTTAAGGGAGAAGTTATAAACCTTTGCAGCTGCTTTTCGAACCGCTGGATGAGAACTCAAGCCCAAATAATCATTTCCAGAAAATAAAAGTAACTGCTTGAATTGCTGTTGAAGAGTGCCAAAATTATCATCAGATAAGATTTCTCCATGAACAATGTCATCTCCTATAAGCCCGATGAGAAAAATTCAATAAACAAAATTCAAAAAGCTGCTCTTGTTTGGAGCAAAATTCGCTCATTTCCCAATCAATGAAGAATAAAACAGGGGTTATAAACATCCATATTCATCAGCTATAATTTATCATTTCCACAACTATAAAAACAAAATAAAAGATAACCCTTTTTTATTGGTTGGAAAATTTACCAGAACTTGGAATCTCGAGAAGCCATTTACGGTAAGTGGATTCAGAAATAGAGACTTTAACAGAGGAACGATCCCATGGATGCATTTCACCGAACAACTCGTACTCGTCTTCACTGGAAATTCCTGCATTGATCACTTCCGTTTGTTCGTAAGAAGGATAAAGGGGTCTTAAAGATCGAAGCAGTTTCAAAGATTCGAGCTTCGAAAGCGCTTCTCCAACCCATTTGTCCCATAAGTTGCTCGCATCCATTTTCCGCGGCGAAGAAAACAATGAGCCTTTGAGAGATAAGAGTACTTAAAAAGATTCTAGGTAAAAGGATAAGTTAGGGTCATTTTGCGGTGCAACGCCTAAAAAACAGTTAATATACGATGTGATCGATTAAATAAGTGATCGGTTAAAATTTAAATCGGTTATATTATATTATTTAATCGGAAATATTATAAAGTATAATAACATACTAGGTAACGCTTATATAATGTAATAGGTAGCGTTTATATTGACCTATTTTATAAGTAAACTGGTATATTTATACCGATAGCATTACAAATTTACCTATTATATTATAATATTTTAAAAGTGACTATACTTTTTTATAAAAATGATCGATACTCTTTTTAAAGTTATGTAATTTATGTTTCAATTTTTTTTTAATAGTGTTTCATGTTTTTCACCTATAATATTAATTTAATAATTTTATTTGCACAAAAAATTATTTGATTGTTTTGATATTTTATAAAATAATATTTAAAATTTAAATTTAACAATATTAACCAAAGATAATAATAAATATGTAATATATATGTTTATTGTTTTTAATTTAATAATAATATATATCGAAACGTAAAAAATAAATCATTAGACGCCTATAATTACTAAATTAATATCTTAAAACTCACTCAAAGATAACCTTAAATTAATGTTTTCCATAGTGAAATAAGTATGGACACTTTTATAAAAAGGATAGATATTTTACAATATAAGCACTACCTATTACATTATATAAACGCTACCTATTACATTATATAAGCGCTACCTATTACATCATATTTTTACCTATTATATTGAAAGTGTCCATACTTTTTATAAAAATGATCGATACTTTTTTTAAAGTTATGTAATTTATGTTTCAATTTTTTTTAATAGTGTTTCATGTTTTCCACCTACAACATTAATTTAATAATTTCATTTGCACAAAAAATTATTTGATTGTTTTGATATTTTATAAAATATTATTTAAAATTTAAATTTAACAATATTAACCAAAGATAATAATAAATATGTAATATATATGTTTATTGTTTTTAATTTAATGATAATATATACCGTAACATAAAAAATAAATCATTAGATACATATAATTACTAAATTGATATCTTAAACTCACTCAAAAGATAACCTTAAATTAATGTTTTCCACAGTGAAAAAAATATAGACACTTTTATAAAAAGGATAGATACTTTACAATATAAGCACTACCTATTACATTATATAAACGTTACCTATTACATTATATAAGCGTTACCTATTACATCATATTTTTACCTATTATATTGAAAGTGTTCATACTCTTTATAAAAAGGATCGATACTTTTTTTAAAGTTATGTAATTTATGTTTCAATTTTTTTTAATAGTGTTTCATGTTTTCCACCTACAATATTAATTTAGTAATTTCATTTACACAAAAAATTATTTGATTGTTTTGATATTTTATAAAATATTATTTAGTATTTAAATTTAACAATATTAATCAAAGATAATAATAAATATGTAATATATATGTTTATTGTTTTTAATTTAATAATAATATATACCGTAACATAAAAAAATAAATCATTAGACGCCTATAATTACTAAATTGATATCTTAAAACTCACTCAAAAGATAACTTTAAATTAATGTTTTCCACATTGAAAAAAGTATGGACACTTTTATAAAAATGAAAAATACTTTACAATATAAGCACTACATATTACATTATATAAACGCTACCTATTACATTATATAAGCGTTACCTATTACATCATATTTTTACCTATTATATTGAAAGTGTCTATACTTTTTATAAAAAGGATCGATACTTTTTTTTAAAGTTATGTAATTTATGTTTCAATTTTTTTAATAGTGTTTCATGTTTTCCACCTACAATATTAATTTAATAATTTCATTTGCACAAAAAATTATTTGATTGTTTTGATATTTTATAAAATATTATTTAGAATTTAAATTTAACAATGTCAATTTCATTTTACATACCGAATCGCTTTGTGTGCCATCTTCCTTCATCCTTTTGCATTCGGCCATACTGTCAACATTTAAAATTTGTAATCAATTTAAAGTTTATCGATACTTTAATCCAATTATCATTTCAACAATAATAACAAAAAGACATTGATACTTACTAGAAGTACATATATTCACCCTTTGGTTGCTTTCGAGTCTCGGCCTCAAGTTCAAAGTCATCTGCGCCACCAACAATTTTCCAACCCATTGACTCCATTTTTCCTTCATATATCAGTTTACGCAAATCAAATCAAATACTTGTTACGTACACTTTATTCAATATACAAATATAGATAACTACTCTTGTGGTAAAACGGTTTTCTTCAAAAGAATTTGAATGGCCACTACAAAATGTGTCGGCACATTTATACAACCTATAATATCATTTTTTACCTATAATATTTAATAAAAGTATCGACATTTATATTTTACTTTCAATATCACTTTCTACCTGTAATCTTTCTCAAATGCTTCTTTACTCTAAAACCCCAAACAATACATAAAAACCCTATTTCCTATTACTGTAATAATTAAAAACTAGGGTTTCGACAACATACTTTTTGATTCGACTGCAGCAACAAACAAACAAACTTCGCTTTAGAAACGCCTTCTGATATGCAGCAACAATTACGCTTCGATTTCAAAAACTCGTCCGTTCTATCTATTTTCAGAAGATATTTAGATATGGCCTTTATATTTTCATCGGATATGTTATTTATATTTAATCGATACAAATACAAAAGTGTCGATATTTTTATGTCAGGTGTCGATACTTTCGAAAGGATATTTACCTATTTCTTTGAAAGTGTCGATAATTTATTACACGTACTTACGAAAGTATCGACACTTTCAATATATCTGGTATCGTTTTACCGGTTTTATCATTTTGATACCGGTTTTATCATATTTTTACCTGTTATATCGTTGTGGATCGATATATTTTTTTAAAGTATCGACACATTATAGGCGCTAAAACTGCTTCTCTTTTAAATTCATAAAGTGTCGATCCTTATATAAAGTATCGACACTTTCAATATATCCGGTAACGTTTTACCGGTTTTATCATTTTGATACCGGTTTTATCATATTTTTACCTGGTATATCGTTTTGGATCGATACATTTTTTTAAAAGTATCAACACTTTATAGGATTTAAAACTGCTTCTCTTTTAAATTCACGAAGTGTCGATCCTTATATTAAAGTACCAACACTTTAAATGTATCCGGTAGCGCTTTACCAGTTTTATCATTTCAATACCGGTTTTGTCATAGTTTTACCTGTTATATCGTTTTGGATCGACAAATTTTTAATTTGGATCGACACGAACCGACAAGTTAAGTTTATCGGTTGCATAATTTTTTAATATTTCTTCATGACTTAGACCTACTACATTATTATTAGTCAACATTTTCGGTAGCGCTAAACCGAATTTGTTAAATATCTTTTAATGTATCCGGTAACGCCGTATATTAACTGTATATTAACCCGCCTTTCCTGAGACAATCCCGATAAGTTAGGAGAAATGTGCCCGTCTTAACATACGGTTAAAAAAATATTATTAGTTTTATTATTATTTTAAATAATAAAATCAGTAAAAAATATTAAAAATATTATTTTTTTTTATTTTATTATTACTATTAATTAAAGATATTGGTAAACGTGATAGAAAAATCTGGTAACAAATAATATTTTCGGTAAAGCGCTAAAATATTATTTTTTATCGAGTTTTTTTATCGCGTTTACCTATATCGGTAATTATAACCAGTAGAAATAATAATATTTTCGGTCATTTTTACCTTTTTTTATTTAAATAATAACAAAATCGGTAGCGTTTGTTTTAGCCGTATATTAAGGTTACCGTACCGTAAAACTTTTCGTAGGTTAGAGTGGACAAAGTTTTCGATAAATTGTTCGTGAACTATTCATATAAATTTATTTATGTTTGTTTGGTAAGTTAAATAAATGATTATGAATAAAATTTATGTTCACGAAAAAACTCGTTTATGATCTCATTTATTGACTTGTTCGTTTATGTTTATGAACAACCTCGTTTAATGGTTCGTATATGAGTTTGTTTAGAATTTAAATATTAGTGAATGTATATACTAAATTAAATATATAGTTAAATTTGGAGTTTAAACTATGAAGATCAAGGAGTTTAAACACTAATGGTGTAGTTTTATCAATTTTAGCTTACAAATAAACATGTTTGTGAATACTAAACGAACATATAAACAAACGTTAAACAAACATATAAACGATTATTAAATTAACATATTCACAAATACCTTAAAAATAAATAAACAAATATGAACACAATATTAAAAAAAATTAAACAAAAACGAGTCGAACATGAATATTTTTAAAAATAAATAAATGAATACGAACATACTTTTATTCATTCAAACTCAATTCATTTACATATCTTAGGGATAACTAACCAGCAGCTTCCGTGTTTGTTTCCATCACAAACATTGGTAGTTCTAGCACGAAGAATGTTAAAAAAAATGAATAAATTACATAAATGATTATTGAAGTATGAGTAAATTATTTTATTTAACATTAAAGTTTTAAAAATAATAAAATAATTACTAACATTATCTCAATTTAAAAAAATCTGAATGTGACTTGTTAGATTAATTTATTTGATATTATATTACCATATACGATAAAAATTGATCGACCTTTTGACTTTAATAAAAAAAAATTAGTCTTTAAGAGGAACATAATCCCTAAATAAACGCTCTAACTCCAATAATTTCAAACAGTCTCAAAGATCTCTGTGTTGTCGTCCATGAGGGAGCGTATGTGGGAAGGGATGGTATAACGCTATTGTTGTGGTATAACGCTATTGTTGTGCTTTATGAGTAGGGAATGGTGAAGACAGATTCTCCATATTTCAAAGCGTAGCAAGCAAACAAAGTTCATGATTTCTACAAGAGTCTGATTTTTGTTTATGCAGAAAAGGGAACACATATCGAGCATTTCAGCTTTTATATGAAATGTACAGTCA